GCGGTTGTGCCGTATCACACACCGAGATGGGACAGAAGAGCATTTTGAGAACAAGGGCAGAGATAAGGACTTCAGATACAAAACACACTTCAGGTAAGTATTATTAAGAATAGTTCAAACATGGGAAACAAAACCCATCTGTACTGTACTGAAGTGGAGGGAAGCTGCTTTATATTGGCCTTTTCAGCAAGCATCCCAGTAAGGACTATGGTCCCACCATCCTAGGCATTTTACAGACCTACAAAAGCTCAGTTTGAAGGCAGTAACAGATACTTGTAATATCTGAAGGAGTTCTACATGATTCATCCACACACTTGATTTCTACTGCACCAAGTTGGCATTTGATTGACCAGTTGACTCCATATTCATTTTGGCACAGATTTTTCATTTTGGCATTTTGCCAGTTTCCCCTGTCAAATAGTCCCCAATTTATCACAAGTCAAGGAGGCAACAGCAGTAAATTCCCTTGGTCTCCAGAGCATGTGGTTCAGTACCTTAAAGGAAGAAATTCAGGGAGGAGATTGAAACAAAAGGCAACTCTGGAAAAAAATTCAAAGCCTGAAAAGAGTGCAGAGAGGAGGGACCGTTTGTGCCCACAGAAGAAAGGATATCAAGGTAGAGTTTTTGCTCTCTAAGCTATAGCTTAGAGTCCTCCACTAAACTCTTTTTTTGTTAAACAAAACTTAAGTCAGAAAACTTGAGTCCCTTTATTTTAGTGTGGTCATAGTCCTGGAGGAGGCAACGGTAAAGTCTGGTCCAACAAAAGAAGGAACTGCTATTTGGCATGGCATTCAATGGCTTAATGTTAAGAGGCCGGCTAATTGATGGCAAGGATAGCTTGGAAAACCTAGAAGTTGTCAAAACCACTTGCAACAGAGTTTCTAACCAGAAGACCTAATGGCATCAGAGGAAAACCAAACAACCCAAACTATTTTTTCTTTTCTGGCAGAGTAATAACTTGGAGGGAGCTGAGCCATAAAAACAGCTCAGTTCTGGAGGGAGTTCTGCTAAGTCAGATTTAATCAGAGCCCTAAGGTTGTCTGGTTCCCCTTCACAGGCTCTCTGAACATTTTGTCCATAGCAGAGGACTCTACAGCTTTGTGAGAGGAAGGCTTGACCAAAATAACTCCATGAACACCTGCTTGGGAAGAGGTTACATCCCCCTCCTGAAGACTGGAGATAATCCATTTGGCAACCACCTAAGTGGCTGCACAGGTGACAGAAGGAAAATATTTATTGTATTTTGTAAGCAGTTAGACACATAGGGAAAGCTTGCACCATGCCTAGCCAGCTTGTCATACATCAGAGTTGTATTACAGAGCACACAGGAACAACAGAATTTACAAAAACCTCTTCATGTACCAGTCAGAACTCTTTCTCAAAGGTGTGTTTTCTGGGGATCTGCTGTCAAGTAGGTGAAGGATTAGAGAGAGCCAAGACAGAGCTAAGACTCTTAGCTAGCCATAAATCCCAACATTTTGGCTGAAATGACTGCCGTGTGGTTGCAGATCTCTTTAACTGTATTGCTAGCCGGTTGAGGGACGTGATTGTCCCGCTCTACTCTGCACTGGTGCGGCCTCATCTTGAGTACTGTGTGCAGGTTTGGGTGCCACAACACAAAAAGGATACAAAGCTACCAGAGAATGTCCAGAGGAGAGCCATGAAGACAGTGAAGGGTTTAGAGGAGAAGCCGTATGAGGAACGGCTGAAGTCACTTGGTCTGTTGAGCCGGGAGAAGAGGAGACTGAGGGGAGACCTCATCACGGTCTACAGCTTCCTTACAAGAGAAGGACGAGGGGCAGGAGCTGATCTCTTCTCCCTGGCGACCAATGATAGGATCTGAGGGAAGGGCAGGAGGATATGCCAGGGAAGGTTTAGACTGGATATTAGGAAAAGGTTCTTCACCCAGAGGGTGGTGGAGCACTGGAACAGGCTCCCCAGGGAGGTAGTCACGGTGCCAAGCCTGACAATATTCAAGAAGCATTTAGACAACACCCTTGGACATATGGTGTGAATTTTGGGGTTGTCCTATGCAGGGACAGGAGTTGGACTCGATGATCCTTGTGGGTCCCTTCCAACCCAGGACATTCTATAATTCTATGATTTCTTTATTACAAGAGAAAGATATAAACGATAGGGCAAAGTTATCTGGCAAGTAAGATGGAATCTAAAAGCTATGTATTTTCTATCAATAGACTTGAGCTCAGTCTTTGATAATCCCTAGGCTTGTATAAAATATTTGCAATACTGCGATCATCAGTCAAAACACCTCTCCTGAGATGACAAACCACTATTGTGCTTTTTGAAAATTACTTGACAATTTGCTGAAAAACAACTGTCTCTGGATGCATACAGAAGCAGCAGCAACACATCCCAGGGTTTGATATCCTTGGACATATTACATATCTAGGAAAAAACAATGCCATCAGAAGCAGGCTCTGCAATACAACAAAAAAGCAAGAGTCTGATACTAAAATATGTTCATATAATGACAGCGTGAGTGCAAGAGTACATCTTTTTTCCATCCCCAAGGCAAAACACAATTTTCATCAGAATGTTTTACCAAAAAAGGAAGGGGGGGGGGGGAATAAATAAATCAATTAATCAACTTACATGTGTACTGCAACCCAAAGAATACAGAACAACTTACTGATAATCAACAAATATATGCTATTTTCCTTACCTGAGTTGCAGGAGGAGACAATAAATCTGATTCTAGTTCCTTTAATGTCTGCAGTAAAGAGGCTACAGCTTCATCATTTGATACAGACCGATCATTAACTGCTCTGTTAAACAGAAATACTTTTTCAGTATCAGGTTGATTTGTAGTAATGTTAACATACATTTGATTCGTTCTCCCCACTGGATGATCGTTAAGTTTTGATGCACTGTTTATTACACAAAATACTATGAATACGCACAGAAGTTAGCAAGTTTTGTTAATCTTTAACCATAGGATTTCTAAATAGTGCCACAAAGGATTTCTTCAGAAGTCTCTATTTTATATCAGTCTGAAATCATATCATGCAAATTCAGGCTGTAGCAAAACATCACTAGTATTTTACTCTGCTGCCAAAGAAGTAAGAAATTACTGTGACTTGGCCACTCATTCCTGACCCCTAGCTTTTCCCTGCCATGCTTAATGGAGTTTCCCATTCTAAACTTGCAGAGGTGTCGATTAACCTGTTTTTTTGATTGCTCTCTAATCAGACTGCTGCAGTTGCCAAACTACCAAATGACTCTTTCCAGTAGGGTTTTTTTTTTTTGTAGTTATTCTTTTTAAGCAAGGTCACTTCACAGATTTAGTTCAAATGCAGGCACGCAAGCTTCTAATGGGAATGGCTACAGTGGGATGACAATAACCAGAGTCTGCTGCCACCACAAAACCATGGTTTCACAGAAGGTTAAGTCTGGTAAGCAGATATACCACTCACTGCCTTCAGCACAGGGCTCTTGGCTATGACCCACACAAGCTCAGAAGCAGGATGGAAAGAAAACTACTGTTTTATGAACAATACTCACTTATCTACAGTTTTATATATGAACTCATTCAGGTGCACAGCTACAAAAAGCAACTGCTGTCTTATCTTCTCTAGCTGTTGTTGCTGCTGTTGCAAATGAAATTCTTCAGTTTCCTTTATCGTGGCCTGTGTGGCATTTTGATCTTTGTTTAAGGTACAGAAGAATTCCTCCTGACGGTTTGGAGATGGGAGATTTCTTTCTCTTTCTTCTAATATTGTCAGTATTTCCTGCAGCTCTTTAATTCTTTGTTCATCCCTCTGGTGTTGCCGTTCCAAGTTTTGCTATTTGAACAGAATAAGTAGTAGTTAATTGCTTCTTATACACACACGTATATATATGCACATACACACATGTAAGTGTTTTTTGGTTTAGTTTTTTATACACACACATACAGACTGCAAGTAAAAGCATCACACCTAACTAGCATATCCATCTCAGTGTTCCTTAACTCACAGACCACTTTTAGGGGAAAGCTTACAGTACTGCCTTCCAGGGCCACCAGGAAGCCATTTAATGACTCTGGAGTGGGCATTTTCTCCATCCATTTCCAGACATGGTGACAGACAAGTCTCCCAAGAGCCTGCAAAACCTCCCTCCTCCTCTAATGAAAGTGAAGGAGCTGAGAAACAAGAAGGGTGAAATCGGTACTGTTGCAAACCATAATTAGGAGCCTAGCTCAAAATAAGGGCAATGACATGAAAAGCTAGTTTGGTTCCGTTCTGTGTTTAAGCCATATTCTTCCTCTGTTAACAACTGGCAATTCCCAGCATAGGCAAAGATGTAAGATCAACTTCTGTCAACAATAAACCCAGACACAAAACCCTGAAAACAGCTGTGTGTGAGAGATGCAGGAAAAGAGCTCATCTAACGCATTTTTTAAGAATGCTTTGTTTAAGGGAAGGAAACATTTCAATTAGAGAACACCATCTACAGGGTTAAATCCGAGTCTGTGGCCATTTCAATATAAGGCAAGACTTGCAGAGGCATTCTCACCAGTCTCTCTTGATCTCTCTGCCAGTCCTTCTGTTTCTCTAGCTCTATTTGTTGCTGCTGTCTCCGCTCTCTCTCTCTCTCCTCTTTCTTGTTTTTATCTTGCTCTTTCATCATCTTGAAGAGCAACTGCAGTTGTTCCCAGTCAGCTTTCAGCTTCGCTTCTCTCTCCTTCTGGGCCTCTAAGGAACGGATTACCTCTTGCTTTTGATCCTGAAGAGATTCCAGCGTAGCTCGCAATTTGTCACTGACCTCTCTCTCCTTCTGGGTTTCTTCACAGCACATCTGTACTTCGGCCTCTAGCTGCCTTTTGGAACGAATGGCCTTCTGGTGTGTTTTCTCAATAATAGCAGCTAGCTCCATAGTTCGGGACCTCTCTTCTTTGAGCTGGGCTTGGAGCTCTTGAACAAAGGCTTGTTCTAGCAGCGACTCCCTGTGCTGACAAGAAACACCTTCTTTCACTCTCATGCTCAACTGTTCTGTCAAAACACGTTCGTGATTCAAGGAATTCAGGAGCTCCAAGGAACGATTTTTCTCAGCATCCAAATTTCTCTGTAGCTCTGACAGTTTGGTCTGTTCCTGGGACAGCAACGCTTCACAGCGGGAGTGCTCAATCTGAAGTTCCTTGCGAAGATTATCATTTACCATCTGCTCGTGCTCTAAGGATACGGCCAGCTGGCTATTCTGCACTGATTGCAACTCCAAGGTAGCCTGCAGCTCCTGTTCAAAAGGGGGAAGCACATATTAATAGTCCAGCACAAACACTCATTTGTGGGGCAGGAAGGCATTTGGCAATTTTCAACCTGCTGTTTTATCCAGGAAGAAATTCAAGACTGAACTAGATGAGTAAATTAAAAAGTTTAATTTAAAATTCCAAGTTTAATTTTCTAATTACAAGTGCCAGAAGTATGCGTGTTAGCAACATGACAAGTAACAAAACCAAAGACTGTAATGTTCAAATATCTTCCAGTACATTATTTTTTTTCTTCAATTAGTAGGACCCTCATTAGGAAATCACTATTCTTTACATCACTCAATCACCTTAATATGTGACATCTGAAGCAGAAATAACCCATGTTGATGTAAAAAGAACCAAAAATCTAAGCAGTAAGATAGATGTAAAACCTCTGGATTTTACAGCTCATCTATTTAAAGCACACAGTACAGACTGATAAAAATAATCCATCCGTACATCCATTTTGGGAGCCAGCCTTTCTTCAGAAGGAAAGGAGCAACTGAAGGAGCAGTCCCAGGGCGCCTGCAGACAGTCAGAGCTAGCATTGCTGTTGTCCTAGCAGGGGAGTCTGCCTACCCCCCAGCCAGCATCACCTCTCCTCTGATCTTATAGAAAGCCAGGTCAGATGCTAAGTGGCATCAGCTTTCTGTAGTACAGCTTCAAGGGAGGATTTGGGAACGCAAGGCTGCAGCAATGTGAAGTGCGAATGATTTAATCTGCTGCACAACTACACCTTGGGCAATGCACTTTCTCTTTGCCTTTGCTAAGATGGTCCCTGCCTTCCCTGCATGAGCAGTCTTTTTGAAGACGGAAGATGTTAGCACCATGTCCTACCATGCAAGTAGTAACAAAAATCCCAACAGACAAAAATCCCCCACAAACCTAAACATCTACCAGAAAGATGATGTGAGAGGCCAGACTTCAAGGAAACAGAGTCAGAATTGTGCTTCCTCACTTAGGGCATTTAACTAGTATTGTTTTGGAGTTATCCGATAGAGTTTTGGTTTGGTTTTTAAGTTTAAAAAAAAAGGTTTATGTTAAATCTTCCTTTTCCAGTCACTGTAGGCCTTTTACAAGAACCGAGTCATTGCTATCACAGTATCAAAGAAAAAGCTGTTCATTTGTTTTCTGTTCAATTTAGAAGAAAGGGAACAAAAAAGACTTTAGTTAACCTCCAAAAATATGGAGGTTATATTGGAAAGGGTCCAGTTACTCTCTGCCAAGCATATGTATCATTGGGTGGTTTTCTTTATAACCTCAGTTGATCATACACATCACATCCTCATGGCACGTTTTCTCTGGAATAAAGGATGCAGCTACACAATTGTAGAGTCTGGATCTCCCTACACAGCAAGGGGCAGTACAAAACTGGTCCCAAGAATGTGAGAGCGTAAGGCTTCAAAACCACCAAAAAGAGATGGGGGTTTTGCTTATTTCTGCATGTGGAATTAAGGTGGGTAACTGAAAGCTTTGTGCTTCTGTGGAAACAAAATAAATGCTATGTACATTCAGTAAAGGTTTGGTGTTTTTTTCAAAGAGTTATTAAACAAAAAACATTGGACATGAAAAAGACTGCAAAAATAACCTGTTAACTTCATGCACCAAGGGAGGTGAACTGAAGCACTGAGATGTAGGGCATTACCTCCAAGGCCTTTGTCTTTTCAACTTCTGCTTTCTTATGCTGAAGCTGTTGTTCCTCAAACAAACCTCGTAGCTCTGTTTCCTTCAGGTGTTCAGTCTGCAAGTCTTCAAGTGCCGCTGTCAAATCCTTTTCTTTTTTTTCCAATTCAAAACTGCAAAGTTGAAAATGACACTTCTATCTACGTTCAGAACAGAACACCCTTCACCAGCAACTCAAGCAAGATGTTTTGCGTTTCTTTGTGTGAGTTGGTCTATTGCCTTGTTTCTTTAAGATGATCTCTGCTCTTTCTAAAGAGGGTCAGTTTTCCAGTCACAGCTATTTAGCATCTGAAAACATTTGCCTCCATACAAGCAAAGCTAGAATTGCTTTATTTAGTAACAATTAAGAGGTAAGGAGAAGTTATCTATCCTGGCAGAGCAAAACTGTTGTCCTGTGAAAGAAAAGAAAAACAATCGCATACACTAGGAAAAAGGGGAGGAGTGGGGGTGGAGTGGAGGAAATAAAAACAAACAAACAAACCAACCATACACAAGATGACAGGCAAACAGAAATACCAACCAACAGACTAAGACAAAAGCTGGAGGAGTGGGGTACATCAGGGATACAGGGATCTAGTCTGTTCACTTCTAATACACCCATACAACATGCACTTCTTTCCACAACCTTCTCAGTCAAGGCTACAGAAAAAGTAAACATAAAAATTTGAATTGAAGAATAAATAAATTTAAGCAGCTAGTAAAGAAAAATAAACATATCCATGAAAAGTGAGAGAGGTTAGTTTTCCTCCTTGTGTTTCCAAGTGCTAAGCCATTTGTGGATCCAATGAGTATAAAGCTTTTTCAGACCTGTTGATAAATAAAATAAAATAAATTAAAATAAATCTACTTCTCACCGTAACTGTTTTATTTCCCTCTGAAGCTCTTCTTGGGATTTCTGCAGCCTTTCATTCTCTTGCTTACTTTCATAAAGCTCTGATTTCAGGGCTACTTTTTCTTGATTCAAGAGATTACATGTTTCAGAGGCTCTCTTCTGCTCCTCAGACAGGGTGCTGTGCAAGTCGCTTATGATAGATTTTTCCTGCT